AGGAACAGAAACAGTATTTTCAAAGTTTTTTTCTCTAAAGAATTTGTTTGGATATTTGCCTTTGGGCAGAGGCTATTTCTCATCTTCCTAAACATAGCATAAAAGACTTTGGAAAAACAGTCCATTTCCTGCAATAGTCTCTCCTGAGGTCTCCAGATAGCCGATGATAAAAAAGGTAATTAAATCTTTCTATTATGAGACAGATCACATTATTACCTGGCAAACTAGATGAGCTGGAGCCTGACTTGATACTGGAGCTAGACAAAGAAGTCCAGTCATATGCCGATTCTGTTCTCTTCAATGCTTCCTGATAGTTCATGTATAGTTGCTTCCCATACTAAGCAAAACAACAAACAAATTTAACAACTGTATAGGCTGTGTACCCTTTTCAGACTGTTGGGCTCTATCTCTGGCTTCTCTATTCCACCTTGTTTTCCCCACAGAGAGAAACAACAGGCTCCTTGTTAAGGAGCTCAGGCAACATTAATTCAGCGCAAATTTCATTTTGTTTTATTTAACAAAGTAGCAACTCCCTTCCCCCAACCTTTTGCCTTTTTATTAGTGAATTGCTGAAAGAAAGAAAAACAGTTTACTTATGCTAGAAGAGATAGGGTCAAGCAAGAAATGGGCCAATGAGTAAACTAAACCAACTTGGGGATCTTAGGAAACAATTCTGTTTTCTCACTTCCCTTCTTTTCCCATAAGCCTTCTTTATAAAAGCTGTAAGGGAGCTGGCTAAAATCTAGCCATGATGGCAGTTAGAACTTTTGTCATGTGACAAAGAGGTGCAGCAGAAACAAGAAGAAAGGGCCCAATTACTGAATTACCATAACAATGAAGCCTAACAATTTTGCTAGAGAATGAAATATGTAAGAAGACTGTACAGTTCATGTTCAGAATAGTTAAACAGGGAAGTTAGATTTAGCATGTATATTGCTAAGCAACTGTAAATAGTTCCAAACAGAGCATGACAACAACTCATGACAACAGTGCAAGACTGCCTAGAGGAGGTTACCTTAGCAATGCGGATGCCATTGATCCACTGGTGTAGAGTTCTTACATCATCACAGCAAAGATACTTGATATACTGGGATTTCTTTTGGATCTGAGGATGCTGCAGAAAAATTGTTAATCCTCATCAATATTTCAATAGCTAGGAATGCAAGGAAAGCCACTTATCTGTTGAGGTCTATACAGACAAACTTAATGCTGGAAGCTCTTCAACAGCAGTTTGTGTTTTCAGCCCACTTAAAATGTTTAAGAGTATTTCAGGAGGTGGCAGTGGGGATTGCTTCACACACAGATGGGCAGTGTGCACTGATTTCAGCTTTGAAACATTAAGAAAGGGTGAATCTTTCAATATTTTAGTATTTAGTATTTCTACCTACCAACAGGGTCTTCTGTACCTGTAAGGCTCTTTAGAAATCTTTATACTCCCAAGCCAAGTGGTCAGAACAGTCTCAGCTTGTAAAAACCTTTCCTAACCCTACTGATACAGAGCTATCATCTAAAATACTTGCTGCTCCCACACGCGTGTATAAAAAAAGAAAAGGCGCTGTATTTACCAATTCAGAACTTTTTTTTCAAAAAAATTTTTTTCCAAAAATCAGACACTGGAAATCATTCTGGATGGATTATTCAGTAGTTTCCTGTCCATGCCGTAGAAGTTACATGTCAGGGCAAATCTGAATACTCAAGTTCTTATAATTTCCTCTGTTTACAGTTCAGTGACACAGAGTTCTACCAGATGATCATAGTAAGTTTTACTGAAGACTGACTGAAACATATATCAAAGAATTTTTAATCTCTTTTCAGAATATTTTCTCCTGTTGTCTTCCAAACAAAATTCAAATGAACATGAACATGTTTATCTCCATAAACAGAATATGTATAACTTCATAATGTTAGATAATTGTTTTCATTTTTCACTACCAGTCTCCTTCATATATATGTTGTATAACAAAGAAGAATCTATACAAGCACAAAAATTTACTTCACCAACAAGCCATCTTTTTCCTGGACTTGTTAAAAAATTTGTCTATACAGAAATAAAAGAACCTCTCAGAAATCTAACATTTAGGACCAAGGAGCTAATATTATATACTAGCATACAAATGTTAAATATAACAATAGCACAGCACCTGTCTTGCACAATAAGGGTTCAAAATAAACAAAGGAAGCAAACATGTAAAGACAAATCCATTCTGGACTTCAGTGAGAATTGACCTTTGAGTTTGTATTTGCCATTCACCTCTCCAAAAACACGTTCATGTTTTGGAGATACTTCCCAGTGTAGTAAGTCTGTGTGGCACAAAACTGAGTTTCTATTAAAAAAAACCAACTGTATGGCTTCTGTATGTTGGTATTAATATAAAACACTGATGTAACATTTTAAGAATTGAGGAAGGCAGAACTCAATCTGCCTTAATATGGCGATTCATCAGTTCCACAAGAAAACTTTGTCTAAGTTACCCGACTAACTCTACACCCCATTGATTTACTTAAATAAGTCAATAAGAGACAATTTAGACACGTTAAAATTTGACTTTAACATTTTCATGTCTTCATTTATGCTCAGAATGACAATACTTTTTAAAAAAACCTACTTAGATAAGACTCAGTCTGGTTTACTCCGTGTGGTCAACAAGTCTGAAAAAACAATTCACTGCTAACCTGTCAAAATGATGTGGATAGTGAAATGTAAGCAGAAAAAATCAATTTACTTCAAGGAATTTATAAATACCTACAAACACTGACATTTTTGCTTTTAATTGCATTCAATTAACTGTGCCAATGACCTATAAGAACATGGAAAATATTTCCAGTTTCAGCCATATGCTTTCTCCCTTATTTGATATTCAGTGTCTACCCCTCAGTGGGTTCAAATGCATGTTGTCCTGTCTATTGGAAGATTAAATCCTTTTTTCACACAGGGGACAGGCAGCCACACACTCCAGGCACATACAACATTCTAATATACTGACATATGCAACTCCACATGAGCTACAAACCAGGGAAGGTAAGAGGTCAAAAGAAAACTGTAAGTTCAACTATAACTATTTCTTGTTACTTGCATCATTTTCAAATCCATGAAGACACTTTACTTGCTGTGAACATACTGTGAAAACTTGTATTAAAATAGCTTTGTAGCTAGCTATCCTGCAGGAACCAACACCACTTTGAACACTGTGTGGGAGTCAAGAGAGATGAGAGATGAGTTGATGCAATTTAAAATAACTTGAGGAACTCAAGTTATTAATATCACAGTTTAAGATCAGGTCACTGCTGATTCTTTCTTGTTCTTTCTACCTGTCCTTTATACTCAGAAAGTACAAAGGATACTTCTTCCTTTACAGCATCCCCTTTCCCTCAGGTTGGGCAATATGGGTAGACTTTACTCTCTAATACCACTTTCGGCACAACTCTGGACCTACACTCTGAGAAGATGGCAACTCCCTAAAGTTAGCGTTTTAAGGGTATTATCTCACTGAACCTGAGTTGTTGTATGGTTTAGAGTTGCCAAAAGGACAAAAACTGTTTAGTATTATGTTTTAGAGTGTGATGAACGTACTCTGGGACTCATCAGTCTAGAAGCAAGACAATTCAGGGCAATATGAAAACATTTACGAAGTCATGAGGAGCATGGAGAACAGGCAACAATTGTTCACCAACTGTTTGCTTCCTAAACAAGAGCGAGGGGAAAATGAAATGGAAAACAACTGATGGCTCAGAACAAGTAAAGAGCGTACAAGGTGTACCCAACTGCTGCAGCATTCTAAAAGTTTCTTGGAATCGCAAAAGAGAAAGGGCACACTACTGCTACTAAACAGCCAAGATCTACTCCCTGGCTCCCTAAATTTCTAAAGGCTGAAAAAGTATTCTGTGGAAGTATATCTGCAACACTGTTTTGTACTTCTAATCTTTTCCTAAGCAGCTTATAAAGAAAGGCCACTATCAGAGAAACCTACTGGGCTTGATGAATCCAGTAAAGCCATTCTTCTGCTGCTCTCTATGATCTTGTTTCCCCCCCGCCCCCCGCCACACAATCCACATGGGATCTTCTGGCAGGAGGAGGAAATCTGTCAGTTTGGTGTGGAAGAAAGTGATTCATAGCCATTTCTTCCCTCTGCACTAGTCCTCGCATGGCATTTTCTCTTTTTTTTTTTTTTTTACTGTATTTCTGTCAAGGAGTGTCATTACAACAATTCCACAGAAAATGTAGTTAAGTACAGCTTTCTCATTATCACTGTACTTTACGGCAATTTAGATTTCTCATGTGCAGAATAAAAACAATTTAGAGATTCACTCTGAAAACTGACAGGTATAGTTTTCCAGTTGTTATATTACTAGAGGAAGTGTATTCTCAATTATAATCTCTCCCAACATTAATATTGTGAATCAGCTCTTGCTCACAATTAGGAAGTGTAGTTATTGTAAGACACTAAGATTAGTGTGGAAATGTTTCAAGCTCTTTAATTGCTCTTTTCAGTATGAGAATTTTTAAAACTATTAACAAGTTACCTTTAGCACTAAACAATAGTCTGTTGGTGCTTTGTATTTGTTCCGATAGTCCTGTCCATAGTAAACATTGACATGATCTAGCTGTAGAAAGCACATGAGATCCCGTGAGACCTATTAAATAAAATAAAATAAATCACAAAATGTCTTTATAAGAAAATGACATGCATTGACAAATCAGTCTAGTGTTAAGATCCAATACTAATATAAGGTCTAGTTAAGCTCTAATATTAGTTTAAATCTGATTCGAAAACTACCAATACAAGAAGGAGATACAGTCATGCATAAACTCTTGCATCAGATGTTCATTTTTAACCAGTATATCCCTTTCCAAATTCAGTCTGGTTTTTTTGTGTTTTGTCTGCATTTTGCCCTTTGACAACATCTTACACCGGACTACTAATGTTTATTTACAGTTGGTATTAGGAGAAAGTAAATAGGATTGCTTGTCCAGGAACTGTTTAAGAGCTGCTGGTTACTTTTCATCTTGGTAATAATCAAGGTGTCCAAATTCCAGTGTGACTGTGAGTAAAATTCTAATGATGTTTGGCAGGGATCGTAGGGCACAGAATTTCAACAGGTTATCTTGCGTATAGTGTTTTAATGAAGCAAAAGGCTGTGGAAAGAACATCTGAGATGCATTCAGCTCTAAAGGGAGCTCATGTGCTGACAGAGATTTCCTCTTCATTGCCAGCTGTGTGGGAAGTGGACTTCCTTGTACTGGGGATCAGTTGATGATGTCAAGACTGGTGGATTCATGGACAACTTGAACTCACAGTAGTTCAGCCTTGAAGCTATAATGCATTAGTAGCAGCTGTCTATTCACCCTTCATTATTGATACTCACAGAACAGCAGTAACTGACACTGAAGTAATGGTTTTATATTTACCAGTTTCAAAAAACATAGCACAAATTGGTCCAAAAAGAATCCCAGTTATATGAACTAACTAAACCCAATAAAATTATGCACACTGATTGTGGAGTTGGTCTGATATTTTATGATTTACATTTGCAGTGCAATTTGGCCCTTCACCTGAATTCTGCTTGAGAAAAGACAGCCTCTTAACTCCACCAATCATTTTTCCTCAATTGTTTCTGCACACCTAACCCCAAGCTCACTCAAAAAGCCGACGTCTGTCTTCTTGTATTTTTAAATTTGAGGTTACACCCTTCACATCAAATGCTACCACAGTAATCTACACAAAATTTCCATGATAAAGCTGCACTTTTAATTAATGATGTAGCACTAGTCCAGGCATAGCTAAGCCAAAATTTAAGGCTGACTCTTGTGTGCATGACTTACCAGCAATAAACAATTCAGCAAAATTGCTTTAAAATAGCAATACCTTTGCTTTCCCTTTAGGGACATAGTAGATTCCAGAAGCTCTAAGAAGAAAGTAACGTTTCTTCCAAGACTTCTTACCATCCTCTTTCAGCCACAAAACTCCCTCAATCTCTGGCACGGTTACAGAACTTCCACAGAAACATTCCTGCCAATAAACACAGTGGTTTGGGAAGAGAGAAGGAGACAGAACGAACAGCATGCAGTGGTTTGTTCTTAATGACTGAAATTCTGTAATTCTTTGTCTAAGGAATGCACACATAACAGGGACAGCTCTTTTTTTCATGCAGTAACATGAATTAGAGATTAATTGTAGAAGCAATAAGGTAATTCAGACAAACACAATAGGAGATCTTAGCATTTTCTCAGTGTAAGAATGACAACAAAAATATTAGCAGATCCTGTAAAGATTTTCTAACCACTGCTTATCAGTAATAGACCCCCAATGGCTTTACTGGCTTTACAGTCACGAGGTCACCTTACAGATATAGCCTCATAAGTCTAAGTATACACAAAATCTAATTACATATCCATCAGATACAGCTAGAATTCATTCCATGAATACTGTGTTGCTACTAACTGCCAACACTATAAATAGAACCTTAACAGAAGTTATAAAAGGCTAACAGAGGAAAACAAATGCTTTAAATACATTCCAGATTAATATGCAGCACAGATTTATGAGTAATCCTAGAAGATAGAATTAGATAGAATTACATCCCTCTGCACATCATGGCTTCAAGGATGTTTTTGATCCACAGTGTTCACATGACCACTTATTAAAATCCATATTAATAATATACTAACAGCATGCATATGCTACTTATAAGTTAAATTGTATTAAGTATAATTCAAAATTAAATACTGTATTGGGTCTGGCTGAGATGGAGTTAATTCTCCCCACAGCAGCCTTCATGGTGCTGTGCTGTGTATTGGTAGCTAGCAAACTGTTAATAACACACCAGTGTTTTGGCTACTACTGAGCAGTGCCAGCACACATCAAGGCTGTCTCTACAACATTTCTTTTTCCCCAGCAGCAGGCTGGGGGGGGCAAGATCTTGGGAGGGGACACAGCTAGGACAGCTGACCCAAACTGACCAAAGGGATATTCCATACCATACGACATCTGCTCAGCAATAAGAAACTGAGAATAGGGGGAGGAACAGGGCGGGGGCATTCGTTGTTTTTTTTTTTTTTACAATGTTTGTATTCCGGAGTAAGGGGCACGTATACTGAAACCCTACTTCCCAGGAAGTGGCCGGACATCACCTGCTGATGGGAAGTAGAGAATAATCTTTGCTTTTTGCTTTGCTTCCCTGCACGGCTTTTTGCTTTAGCTACATTAAACTGCCTTTATCTTGACCCACGAGTCTGGGGTTGTTTTTCTCCATCTTCCTTTCTCCCCTCCCTGCCTTGCTGAGGAGGCGAGTGATAGAGCGGCTCTGGCAGGCACCTGGCCCCCCAGCCAGGGTCAACCCACCACAAATACCCAAAATATTTAATTTTGTGTAACTATTGAAATCATTATTCAGAAAATCAAGTGGAAGCTATGACACTTCAGCATGGGTATGTCTCTACAAAAATGTCATAAAACCATGCAGTTTTCAGCTTATGGAGGCTATGTTTACTGTTTGCTTTATTTGCTCCACGCTTTTTTGTTGTCTTTAGTTCTGTAAACTATTTAATGTGTTTGATATTAATTGGCTTCCTTTTCTGTTGCTCATTTTTTAAATTTAATATTTGGTAATTTATTTTAAAATTTAATTGAAACAACTTTTTAACTACTCACTTACTAACAAAATTTAAAATATTAACATAGATCATTCACTGAATCAATGCTATAGAATTTTGTAGAGTACTAGTAAAATACTTCTACCAGCACAGGTCAAAAAAACAATTGACAGTTCTGCAAATTTCGACTGGTTTTAGCCACAGTTAGAGGTAACCTCATTTTGATTATCACTGTTTATGGTATTTTAGTTATTAAACAAAATAAAAACATATTTTTATTAACTGATCATATCTGAAACAGGGTAACATCAAAAGAGCCATTTATCTCAAATGTAACACACTCCACTCACAGTTGTTCCAGAATTACATTCAGATCCATCCATCAATTTCAATCACCACAACCTTTTGTTGACTGAAATGACTACTACGCACTTTTTGTTTTGGCAGTCTTACCTCTAGCAGCACCTCTTTATTTCTGTCTGCCATCTCAGAGGTTTCTTTCTTCCCCAGAAGATAGTTCTGTAACAAGAGAAAGCTTAATATTTCTATAGGCATTCTGAAATCAAGTCAAATAACATTTCTCATTTACCTTACTGTAGTGGTAAGAAAAAACTAGCTATTATCTAAGAACAGTACGTTAATTGAATAAAACTTTGTAGTTGAATTGAAACTGTCAGGCCGCTAAATAATACACAGAACTAAGTTATAATCCCCTTTTCCAGAAATATCAGTCCATACTCTTAAGTTACAGCCTCAAAACAACATTGTCCTGGCTTTCCACAAAACAAAGAGCTGCCTAGTACAATGTACCCAGAAATAATAATACTATGAATTTGAAAATCCCACAATAAAAATATTTTAAAAAAACAGAGATCTTTAAATTTGTTACATACTGCCATTATTTATGTGTTCAAAGAAGCACATGCAGAAGCAATGGACTTCTTTCCACCTTGCCCTGACAGTTTTGCTGAATAAATTTTTTTCATGAAGTATTACTAAATACTCAATTGTCTTCTTAAAATGAACTAAATATGCATAGGTACCTTATCTTATTTAATAAGAAGTTTTCTAGTCTTCTTCAGCTTGGAAAGGACTGGAACAATGAAAATCTTCTGCTTCCTAACCCCTAGCTCTTATACGGGGAAAAGACCCAATATTCACAAACTTCAGTCAGTTCAATATTTTACACCAAGGAGAAATACTGGTTTTATGCTGGTACTTCATTCTTTTGGACAATGCCTACCATATGTACTGATAGTAAACGTATCAACTACATGCTTTTAAAAAGCATTTAGCGTTTTGCTGCTTCATTGCAAAGCACTTCAATAAGACCTGGTTTTCAATTCTTTCTTAAAAAAAATTTAAAAAAATCAAGTACACTAATGGTGTCCCAAAGAATGAGCATGCAAAACTGATACTCAGTTTAAATCCAAGAAATTACCACACAGAAGCCATGAAGACATAAAAACAATCTATGACCCCAAAAGGGAATACATTAGGTAAGAGTTAAGAGAGAGATTAATTGATTGTATATCCAGTTTTTTTCAAGTCAAATTCTTCAGAAAGACACCTTCTGCTTTTCTGTTTCTTTTTCTTCACTCCCTTACAGTACTGAACTGCTGCTGGATATGAGATCTGCAGCTATCATTTGAGAAAAGAGAGGCCTTTGAGGCCATTTGAGAGAGAAGAGGGGCCTTTGGTTTCCTCGTCAGGGAACAGGAAACACAGGTGAATAGAGGCAGGTCCCAGCTTCCACAGGGAGGGACACATGGTCTCTTCTCTTCCCCCGCCATTTGACCACAGAGTAGCTATTCTCTTCGATTTTCTCTTCCTCTTTTTTGCCAGCAACGTAAAAACGCGCAGTGGAGAGGCACTGCTATTAGCACTATCTGTCAACACCTTTCTTGCACATTTTACATATTTGAACAGCGCTAAGTATTGGTGCAAATGCCATGAAACTGCTTGCCTTCATCTCCATTAAAATTACCTACAAACACGTTAGCAAACAGATTGCTTCAGCTCATGGTTTTCTGCTAGGGGCTTGACTTTATGCCAACCACAATGTGGATGTACACGGTGCTGAAATGTAAAGTTGCCTGGCATTTTAATACATACACAAGTATCAAAATAAAGGTAGGGAAACAAATGTTACCAGAAAATGTAAGAAACTGCAGTCAGGCATGCATGCGTGCACACGCACACACATTCAACATCCATCTCAGGCTTACCTGGGGATTCTTGAATAATGCGTATTTCTCTATACGTTCCACAAACATTAGTTTGTTTTGACTATCTCTTGTCCAGTTCAGAAGATTTTCAACTAAATTTTCATGATCTTCAAAGATCCTTTCTGCAGCAATAATAAGAGAGCAAATACATTTGAATCTGTCACATTTTGTAATAGAAACTTCTCTGTGGTCATATCTGGGAGACAAGGCATATATGGAGAGAAAACGGAGTTCAAGGTCTACTAAAATGGTGAAGAAATTTACACGAAGAAACTAAAAGATCTTAGTCAACTTTCAGATGTGCCTGGTTTAATTTTACACATACACTTACTCAACACTCTCACTTCTGTCTCTTCAGGCTTAGATGAAGTGGTTTTCTTGTTGGTTTTTTTTTTTTTTTTTTACCTGACAGAGCCTACCATTCCACATGAGCACAGCAGACTCAAATGTAACATTTCAAATGTTGTAAGTACAAATAAGAAGATTACCACATTTATGTGTACTCTGGTCCACACAGTCCCTGGAGGGATTTATTAGGCAGCTTTTTCAGCACAAAATTTGTTTCTACATCCCAAATCACTACCTCATTCATAAAGTATCAAAAAAAAGTAATAGACAAGATCAGAAGGAAACAAAATGCTTCCAAAATGTAGAATACCCATGGTTAGTGGGGTACGGTAGAAGTCTGAAAACTGACACTATCTATTTCTCACAATCTATCTTGCTGAATAAATGATGTACTTGCAATGTTCCTGTTATTAAACATACTGTCTAAAATTAAAACATCGCAACTTAGATACTTCATAGACATACTCTGCTCTAACTAAAAATATAAAAACAACCTTTATCTCAACCAAGAGAAACCTTCCAGAGTTGTTTCTGTTACAAACTTGCAGGGTAAAATTGGGCAAAGCATTTCATTCTGCATTCTGGAAATAATATCACTGAGTTCTTCTGAAAGTACATATAAAGCTCCTGGTTAAACCATTAGATAATAACACGTGGTCTTCTACTTCAAGTACACGTACTTAAATCAGACTCCTCAAAAACTAGTTAAACGTGCACATTTGAAGCAGACCACATAAAATGCAAAGGCAAACAGGAACTCCACAGGCCTCATGTCTTTCTCCACAGTATGTCAGCTTAAAGCTTTCACTGCATTTTATTGAACTGTGCAATTAAAAATCAACTGACAAGACAACGTGGTAAAATACACTGTGAAGGTACATAGGTCTTCTGTGTCTCGCTAAAGAAAAATATAATAAACTTACTTCCTCTTACATAGGCATTGCCAGAAAAAGTGTTTCAAAAGATGAGCCACTGGCAAAATAACACAATACAATACACAATAGTACATAGGGTGAGGGCTGTGTTGTAATCATTTTTTCATCTGTTTTTCAAGTTCCAGTATAAAATATATTAATCAAACTGGCTGCATTTTTGATTGTCTCTAAAAAAAACCCCACGTATGTGAAATCTATGAAAAACTACCTAACAGTTGTCCAACCAAGGAAAGCCAAACTGAAAAATAAAAGAGGAAACTGAATTTTAACCTCTTGCATCTCTTAGGTTTATCATGTTGTAATCTGAATTTAAAATTCTGTAATTACAATAGATGATGTTCTCTAGCTTGAAACTCTTTCAACAGAGCAGTTAAATTCTGACATTCCCTGTATGTCACTGAGCCCATCCAGTAGGTCATGCATATACTTGCAAAACACCCGAGAGAGATTTATTAACCCAGTTTTAACTTCAAAATAATCTTAATTCAGCCACACTGTTAATTTGCATAAATATCAGTTTATCCTTCTGTCTGCAGCCCAGCTCTTTGTTTCTAACACAAGTTGAAAATATTTTTTCCAATATTTTTTTCCTTTATTCTTTACAGGCTGCACAGTGAATGGAAATGTCTTATGAAAGCAAATCTAGAATGGTAAAGACCCCTGGTTGAGCCCAGGAACCTGCTACCTACACATTCAAAGATTTTTCAGTGACAGAAATATAAAACTATTGCAGAACTAATAAGGTTATTTATTCATACTATTCTCACTGGTAAAAACGTACAGAGTTACACCTTTGATTTTTATATACCTAATTTGGACTTACATAGAATTTGTGCAAATTCTTTCTGGTTTTAAAAGTGGACAACTTCAAGATTTCATTGATTAAAATTTTAAGGTTTTGAGCCCAGTAAGATGTTGTTTTTCATATGAAAGGTAGAAGATTCAAAGGATACCTTGTCACCTTACAATGGCCTTTTTTGTCTAACAATAAGCAAAGTTAACATGCTAGATTGCCTGAAATAGAAAAGGTTTCACCAAAAGACAGAGAAAATAATAATTTACATTTTAACGTGAAATCAAGATATTTGGGTTCAATTCTGGGCTTTTCTTTAGTCAATGTGTAAGTTGCTTAACAGCTCTTTGATGTAATTCTTTTCTGATAATGGGGATTAATAATAATGGTTTTCTATCATTTTTCCCCTTCTTTTCCATTCAGATACTATATCCTTTGGCTAAATGAACAACTTACATTGTGGTACATGCAATGCAATGCAAAGAAGCTTTAACTGCTTTTAGAGCCATATTGCCAATTGTATTAAAATATTTAATAGGAAAAAAACCAACAGCTTTTTGTAATAAGAACTAACAGGATCAGTACAAAATACTGTTTACACAGAGGAAGATGCACAGTAAATTTTTTATCCCTTACCTCTTTCTTCTGCAAGGAACACATCAAAGCCAAGAGGCTCAGTGACTAGACCTTAGTAAAATTCTTATATTACACCTTAGAATTTAGACATGCTTTTAACATGAATGAAAAAAAAACATTCCCAGATCATTCTGAAACAATGTCATTCATGAGCTTTATTACCTGAATGAACATTTACTACATGAATGAACAGGATGATGAACATTATGAAGACAAGAATTTAAATAATTCTGAGGACATACAGACAAGCATTACATCAAAAGATAAGAATTATAAATGTTTATAATTATTGCTTACCCATTTGCAATTCAGAGATGGTTTCCACCAGTGACCAGTCTAAACTGTAACCGCAATGTGATTTGTCCATCAGATTGTCTAATACTTGTCTCACTGTCTGCCTCTCATCTACCATCATTGTTTTTGAGCTGTCATCAGACATGTGGACTCTGATCACCAACTATTAAGCAGAAAATTAGGAAAACAAGAAGGATTCACTTCCCAGATTTCGAATAAAAACATGTTTTTTAAGATTTATTTCTTTATCTAAGATTGTGTTAAATAGCATAAAATATTAAGTTCAATCAAAACCATCCTTCAAAACGTAAAAAGCCATAAACGATGGTTAGATATTTGTATCACGGACACTTAACAAGATACTGTTCTCCTTCAGTATAAAAGAGTTAATATAAAGGTTTTCCCAACACAATGACAACGTGCTTTAGTTGTGTGTTAAGGAGGAAAAAAATCCCTTCTACCAAAGTGTCCTGTTCTGATTAATAAAGTGTCTTTGTGACCATTTTTCTCACATATCTAGGTGGAACAAACATAGATACAGAGTTCTGCACAAACTTATACAGAATTAGAATCTTTCAGATTTGCACTTCAAACTTTCTGCCCACTTCCTCCATATTTTCTAGAAATGCTGATTATATAAACAATATACCTATACTTAATCTTCTTTTTCTGGGGAGTATGAAGCATTAGTGTGAAAGAAATCTGCTTTTAAAACACGATGGCTTTTCATAGGCACTTTAAAGAAAGTGACACCAGAAAGAACAATGCAGCCATTTTTTTAACCAATCAAAAAACCTTAAGACAATAGATCCTTCTTGCCAATCATTATGCTTCCGTTTTTACACCTTGCTCAGCTGGCAAAGTTAAAATGTACTAGTTGTAAGACACAGGTTGGCTTGTTAATTCCCATCTTCCAGCCAGGATGGTTTTTCAGCTTTTGATACATAAACACTAAATATAAAAGGCATTTTAAGCTACTGAAAAACTCCAAACATAATAAAAATGCCAAATTTAAAGGGAACATTTTATTTTCTTTGATAGTGCATCAAGTAATGTCAGTAGACTTTCTCTGCTTGGTAACCCCTGTCTGTATGGAATGTAGTCTGGAATGCTTGTGCTCCATTTGTCACTGGAAAATCCCGCTATGCATAATGGGAAGTACTCTGTAAAGAAAACAGACTTGAATTTTAAATATGTGACAGCTTAATATACAAAGACAACCCCAGGAGGCTGGACCTTCATTTCAGCTCTGTGTGGAAGTTGGCAAAGCCTTCTCACTGTGTACTAGCTGCAAAATAAGCTATTCCTTAAGAAAAACATAACGTTATTCCATATGCTAGGATTTTCTTCATAAGGTCCAGTCTAGATGAGAAAGTACATTACCACTCAAGAAGAGAACACTACAGTGTTCCTACTTTCTTTTGGGCAGTTTAAAGGTAACAGATACAAATGAGAAGAATTTTGCCTGCATTTTCCAGGTGAATAAGTATAAAATAAAGGTTCTATAAACCAGTATAAATAATTTACCTTTTTCACTTGTGCCTCTTTAATCTTCTCTAACGCAACCCTAATCTTCTCAGCTTTGAGTTTAGCAGCCTGTTCCTCCTAGGGGGACACAACACATGGAATTCCAGTTAACACAAACATCAGTCTGGTTTTAGTGGATTTAATTTTGAGGTTACCAAGCTTTAAAACATGAATTGACATGCTGATTTACCCACCTATAAACCCTCAACTATTTCTTAGTGATGAAGACGACCATTGTTTTTTAAGACAAAAAGTGTTACTATCTATATCTAAAATTTAGAAATACAACTACCATTATCTCCAAAAGAACAAACTAGAGGTATGTATTTTGTATATACACATTTAGCATTTGTCTGTTCTTCATACTGTAAGTAGCCTTGTACATTACTACCAAATATTTTTAGCATATCATGTATTTACAGTCATAGATTTGGACAATACACATTTAACAAGAGTGTACAATTGAGTACACCCAACAGATTTTTGGCTGATCAACATAAAACATAAATAGCACACTGAGAAATATCAGAATTTAACAGCACACAGAAAGCATGGAAAACAAATCCTATAAATAGGATTCCACACTATGTGCATTGGTTTGGAAGACTTTTAACTATTAAACCCGTTTGCAGTAAATAGCTTGAATGCTCCCTTTATCTTTACTAAATCCAGGCTGTATTTCTCCTCACTTTAAATATTTTAAGATGCATAAAGCAAACAAGCGTTCTTTTCTTTGATGCTCTTCTAAGTAATCTATTTTTGTTACAACTGGAAATGTATTAAAAATTCAGATAATTTAAATCTATCTGCTGAGACTAAAGAAGCCTGTATATTGTAAGACTAGCAATACTGCTTTTTAATTTCTGGAGATTATTGATATTTCTGTTCAAAGTGGATTTGAAATACACACCTAAACAAGCAACCACTCCTTCTAGGATGCCATATGCAGGTTTCACATTTTACAAATCTGAAGTTGTGGATGTTCATTGTGACTAATAGCTAAAAGCTTCATAATAATTTTAAAATTTCTAGAACATGAAACAAACATATTAAATAAACAAATCCCCTCCAAAATATTAAATCTCCTTAGAAAAGAAAAATTAAGATTTTTCTTAGATCAAAAGTAGCCCAAGCCCATCACAACAACACCCAGCATGCCACATTTAGTTCTGCATTGCTTTCTTGTATGAATGTAATTTGTTATTTCTTTACCATGTGTTTAGATGGTTGCTTTTCTTGTAAAAGTCAAGATTCAGCTATCTTGAAATCCATGGGGTTTAAGTTTTCCATTTCTCACTGAATTACTAATATTCCTATCAACTGCTAAAGGGTATTCCCTGTACTACTGCTTACTGTACTCTTACTTTTGCTTTTTTTTTTTGCTTTTGCTCCCTCACACCTGTGACCATACTATGCACCAGAAAAAAACATCAGCTAGACAAGACAATAGGCTGCCGTGTGAGAAACGTAATCCTTTTTAATAAAATGAACCAGTAAGTTGACATGAGCAGAAATAATGTGAGCTTGAAACATTATGTGGGAACTCAGTTACCTAGGAACATCATTTTTTTATTAGTCTACAAGGAACTGTGGCTTTTTATTCACCATAATGATGGTATCATATTGCTTAGAAAGGTTAAATCAGATTAGCATTCTATTAAAAAAACCCAAAAAACCAAAGTACCATGATACTTGGATTCATTTAAACGTAAATCACACCTAAAATATTAAAATATTCTTCTTCTTCCTTAACATTAATCATCTGTAGAAATAAATTATTACTAAAACCCAAGGTTTTAAATACCTGTAAATTTCTAAAAGTGATGCTATGCACCTGTGCATTATGAAATCAGGAAAAGCAAAAGACTTTTTATTTTATCACCCATTTGGAGAAACTGTAATTTATGGCTTAAACAAAGCTGCTTATTAAGCCAACCATAAACCTCTATTGCTGTACAAAGGTTGACAGCACATTTAGTTTTGCTCTTCACTGAAGTCAAGTAGCACAATTTTCCACCCCATTTCAGTGTACACCTGTGCAATGCAACTATCTATAGCAAACCCCAGCAGGAGCACTTTACAGCCACGGCACGCAGGCACACGCAGCAACAAGAGAGCAAGCAACAAGGAATCAGCTGGGGCTCTCTCATATAGCTGCACCAACATAGCTAAAATATCTTTGTTGATCTCAAAGTTTATAATCCACCATTCCCTAAAATGCTTTAAAAAATAAATATGTAGATCAAAAAAAGATTTTGAGGATTTACTATTTTAACACCCACCAATTACTTTTCATTTCCCACTCACTTTTAGTGTGGGTCCAGAGATCAGGATTTCTTATACTTTATTAAACAAAGTCAGTTTAATTTTAAACAAAATCCCAGAATTACGATTATTGAAATAAGAACCAGTTTCAACCAGCAACAATTTATAAAAAAAGGTCTGAATCTACTTACTGGAAATGCACAGAGGAAATGGAAGCAAGAATTAGAAATTTCTGAAAGCTCACAGTAGTCAAGGATTTTAAGTTATTCAAGTTTTGCTTCATAGTTAGTGCTCAGGCCACTGCTGCATCATTGCTGATGTGATAAACATTTCACTGGAGCTGGAGGAGTAACTATATCTTTTGATTACTTAATACAATAATTGAATAACTACAGAATTCTTCAAAACTCACAATTTATTCTATTTATCTCCTAATGGTGCAAGAAAACAGCCATTCACAACTGTTCCCCATCAAAGCCACCCCAAAACTGCACTCAGACACAAACACAGGCTCCCTCCTCCCCCATACATGGAACCAAGGCAGCTCCTCAATGGGAGGAAGCACATGCAATCCATCCATTTGTTCTAAGCTAACAACATTTTTCATTGCACATGGAGAAAGGTGACAGGTGGCAAAAATACCTGAGTGCAACTGTAAACTACTCAACACCACAAACTAACAAGGCCAGGACATACAGTTCAATCACATTTCACTTAGGTATTTATTTCCCCTTTGGTAGTAAATCCTTCTGGTAATAGTGATACAAGTTAAATTGCCAAAGGGTCATAAACAGGCATATAAATGGCAGGACTGCTGCATAGGTCATGGTTTCACAAGCGGCATATACCAATGATATGGCTGATACACCTGCCTCCCTTGCATAGTGTTACTTCTCAGTTATAGCAGTCACAGTGCTGCTGTGGCCACACAGACAATTGAGTCAGGGAGCTGATCTGGTTGCAAATTAACACAGCAGAAAGATTCAGCAGAATCCACTCCTCGATAAGACTGTCTTCATGGTCACATACATGCTATGGAAAAGCACAAAGGAGATACATACATATACTTACATAAATTAATGACTTTTCTTTGTATTTTTATACCAGAACTCAGTTTTCAATAATTTTAGCCAATACTGGAATATTGGAAAGAATAACCCCAAAAAATCTAAAGTTAAGATTTCCTTAATATAACAACAATCACAGTCTCCTGCCTCAGTTGCCAATTAAATGTGCAGTTAAAGATATTCCAGCTGTGTTTTAACATTAAATATGCAAGATGTGTGCTATGACAGAGGTGACCTTGTTCAAATGACTTTATGCCTCACATTTCTAGGCTGGGGTTTTATTTTTTGTTTCATTGTACATTTTTTGCAGAGATCACAGGCAGAATGGAAAAAAAGGGGGAAAGAAGATCACTTAAAGGTCACAGTACTTAGGAAAGCTAGTAATTAAATGATAAGAGGTAAGTAACAAAGTCCACATTTCACTTGTTAGCAGGGTAGATACACAGATCACAAGATGCATAAAAGAAGAAATTTCTTTTATGTTTAATATTTGAAATTTTTCTCTGAAGTCCTTCTTTGAATGCAGGTAAGAAGATAACTAAATACACAACTAGCATTGACTTCTGACGAAGTAGAAGCAGATATCCACTGTTTATTTTCCCAGCTACAGTCTAGCCTCAGATAGAAAGGTAATTGCCTGTTTTGCAAGGACTCTCCTTCCAGCAGAGTTTTTATTGAAACAGAGGTTCCTGATGCCTGAGAACACCATCTTAACATCTCAACTGTACCCAATTCCCCAAAACTTCAAGACAACTTTATTAGCGCCATGTTTAATGTCGGTGAATTAGAACATTAATCACTTTAGTGAAGTGTTTTCTGTTGGTTCGTTTAATTTTTTTTATTTTTTTTTAAAAAGGAACACTAGAACAAGTGTGTATTTGATCAGCACTGGAAGGGAAAAGCTGAACAAGTGAATATTAACAGCAGTTCTTCTGTATTTCTTGATAAACTCAATAGGACAGGCAGAATACTTGTAAAAAACAACGTGTGGCAATGGTAGTACAGCCCATTTATTAACAGTGAACTTGTGTTTACAGGAGTAGTTCACAACCTTTCTAAAAACATGTTTTATTGTATTTCCTCTCAATTTAACCCAGAATAACCTTTATCTGGGTAAAGCAGAAAGGGAAACAAAACATTACTCTCTTTCAAAACTCACTAAATGTGAGTGTACAGCAGCCATTTTCCTGATGAGGGGTCCATCCTCCCTAATGTAGACTCATCCTACATTTTCTCCTTCTTCCTTCCCAACTCTATATAGAGTTTTCTATACATCTGGCACATTCCTGAGTTATTGTCACCAGATTATATTATGTTAATAAATATGGAAATGCATGTAAAGCAGTAGTATTGTTCTGGGTGTTGTATCTGAGAATTATTCACCTGAAAAGTTTTTAAATATTACAATGACAGTACAGAGGTAGTGCCATATTTTTCCTTTGTTCCACTTCTGTGCACCATTAACAAACTTTGTGCTATGAGAAGCCTTACTCCAACGCAGAAGATGACTTCTGAATGGAAATTGGAAAGCAGCAGTTACATTTTAAATGCATCTCAAAGTCACACTGGCCCTTGTTGCAAGTTCCTACAGAAGGGATCTTTCCCCCCACAGTCTATTAAGTGCAAAGAGGGAAGGCCAAAAGATAGATGGCAGTGGCTTATGAACTTAAATGCGTAATGGTATCTATTAATCTCTCCAGAACACTCCTTGTGCTTGATCAAAATTACCCAGTGCTTAAGCTTTTC